AAGACTCACTTTCATTTAGTAATATATTTATATTAAATAATTTAATATAATTTAAATTGTATAATATTTTTTATTTTATATACATATTGTTTATGTTATTAAATTTTAAAAAATTATATAATTTTAATATTTTATTAAAAATATTTAAATAAATTTATAAAATAAACTATATTTTTAATATATAACTTAAAAAAAAAAAACTTAAATCTCATATTTTACTGTATCGTATTTATAAGTTTTTATGATAAAAATATTATTTTATTATTCAAACTGTATCCAACAGTAAAAGAACGGAATCTTCTGTAACCATGGTCTTTACTTTGCAGTGGCAGAGCCGCAGAGCCATTGACAGCACTGATACGCCAATGGCAGCACGTGAGGAAGGATGGCGCGTGAGTCAACTCGTAAAGAGGGAGCGTGAAAATGCTGCCATCCCGCTGTATAGAAAATCGTCCCAGCAGGAAACTTTGCTTGCTCTCTCCACTGACATTGCCCCAAGGCGCTGTGTATATGTGACCGTGAAAGAGAGAGACTTGGGAACTGTGCGCGGTCCAGCTCCTCCGAAACTCACCAAACCCATTTCGAGCTAGGGTTTTCTGCTGTTATCTTCTTCAGTCTACTTCAAATACACCCAAAAATACCAGCACGACTACAGAGAGATTAACTAGCTTCCTTCAGGTAAAAAACCCGAAGTTTATTTTTTGATTTTTCATGAAGCATTTCTGTTTCACCATGCATTCTTCATAACTGTTGGTTTTTCTTTGAAATTGTTCTGTACTTTGAGATGAAAGTAGAGATTTTTATGTTTGAGAGTACCTGTTCTGTTTCAGGAGTTGTCAATTTTTTTTGTTGCTTTCTGTTTGTTTTCATGTCTCCTCTTGCCTTTCTTTTCCAAGAAATCTCATTTTCTGGTCAGGTTCTTCTTAGAAACGAAAATGTAGGTCTGTTTCTGCCAAAAGTCTCAAAACCTTAAGCTGTTCTTTTTTTCATTTTTTCCCTGCAAAACGTGAAGCTGTTTTAAATTGCGTTTTACAGATGATATTTTGGTTCTGGCTTTGTTTTGATCCATATATTTTCTTTGATCTGAACTTCCAGAATCCTGTTTTTCTCTAAATTTTTATGCTTTTTGTATACTGGTGCGGTAAACTTCTAATTTTACTAATATAGAAAAAGGGCTCTATGAAACAAAATTACATTCAGTGATCATCTTGTGAAACCATCTTTCTTTATGTTCTTTTTTTACCTATCTGATCTTTACTTTTGTGCACTACTTCACCCCTTGATGATTTCGTGTGCTCAATTATTTTCATTATGTGGAGGTATACTCCTGGTCGTTGCAGTGTCTTTCCTTTTTCTTTTCTTTTCTTTTCTTTTTCCCCCTTTTTTTCCTCTTTGATTTAGCAAACAAAATTTGGGGAAGAAAATTTTGAGACTTTTTTTTGGGGGTCCATGGAAAATGAAGAACTCTAGCTTAATTTTTCAGCAGAAAATGGGAACAAGAGGTTTGTAATTGTATAGGCCCAGCTATTTAGTCATGGGTTTAATTCTTCAAATTCCAATTTGCAAATTATGATTGAAGTAAAACAGCCCCATGTAGGATTATGGGCTATTTCTTGTATGGTTCTCACTTATCCTGTTTCTGTTTGTCCCTTGTGATATTAATAATGCTTTTTGGAGCAGAGTTTGGGGGGATGGAGAAGAAAAAATAAATTTGCGGATGGTTTCATATTTAATGAATTCATTTGATGCGAAACTTCTCTTCTACTTTTTCTTTCTTATAAATTTTGTCGTTTGGTCCTGGTTGGTGGTGGTGGGAGTAGTTTCTGTGGAGTTTCTTTTAAGGATTGTATTGTTTGTTTGTTAGTTAGGTTTTGCGCACGCTGCTTAAAGATGGGCCTGCTTTATGAACTATTTAGTTGTTCTTTGCATATTAGATTCTCCCTTATGCTGCTTCTCCACCTAAGATTTCCCTGGACTATTGCAGGTGGTGTGGGTCAGGTGGGATTTTGAGGAAGATACATATTTTGTAGTTTGCTCTTTAACCACTTTCTGAGAAAGAGAATATAAAAGATAATGCAGACACCAAAAGCAAGGTAAGACAAATATTGTCAAGTGCTTTTACAGCTTTCTTATCCATTTTTTCCATTTAGAGTTTTGTAGAGTATTGTTCTTAATGGCTAACGTGATTTCCTTTAACTTAGTGGTGTACTATGTGCCGCTTCGAGTAATATCCCTCTGCTCTATAAATGAGTACTTCATGAACCTGTATTTTTCTCTTTGTCTTTCAATTGTTTACTTTGATTTCAAGCTAAAATAATCTGTTTTAAGAGTTTGGTATAATCACTAGGTTGGGCACCCTGAAAAAATCTAGTTTGGGGACCCAATGTTAGTTGTCAATAATTGACTTGTACTTCTAATAAATTTTAAGCATTGGCATTTATTTTGTTTAAGGCTGTTTCACAGAAAATATTTGATATGGCTTGATTATGTTTGAGTTAATGCATGCTTGTACAGATCTAGAGCTGATCCTGATTCTACTTGTACTGATGAGAATCATTTGATCTCTATCTTTCTTGATCAGACACTGAATTCTGGATTCTGCTAAAACTTAATGTCACCACTCAAGGAGTCAATATAAATACGTTAATTAATGTATGAAAACTAAATTTTGGGGTGGGGTCACCATGACCCGAGAGTGGTTGGTTTACAATCAATTATCATATTTTCAAATGTCTGCTGTAACAAGTAAATGCGGATGCTTCATTTGCAACAACTCTATTGTAAAGAGAACAATTTCTTCAGCTTTTGCTATTTAACCCTTATTTTGGAATTGATAAAAGTAGAAATCATTGGAGCATCTCTTGATCTGTAAGCTGGAAGCTTCATTATCGTCTAGCTGAGTTGCTGGTTTTACTTGCAATGTCTTCTTCCTATGATTTTTGCAGCAGAACCTCTTTGGAAGTGCCTCAGAGGAAATCTCCTGGAACCCCTCGAACTGCTCGTCAGCTGAAGTCACCAAAAAATGATTCTGTTGCAGTTTCCTCTACAAGTCCTGCAAGCAAGAAACCAAAAGATGGAAGTCCTAAGGTTGTTGAGCGCAGATCCCCAAGAAGCCCTGCAACAGAGGTATTCTGCAGTCACTCTATCTCAATTAGCTGGTTGTAAAATGGAAAGTACATTGGGGAAAAGAATTTGCTGCAGTGATCAATCTCATAGATAATGCAGCTGAAATGAATGCATATGTGCCTGCATTTTATTTCTTTACTATGCCTTTTTTAATTTTCTTCTATTTTTGTCTACTTAATAGTTAGTGTTAGATGTTGATCACTTGTCTAATATGATAATATCCACTCTCCTGACCTATTGGTTCTAGAAGAAGCGAACGGGTAGGGTGGCTGAATTGGAAGCACATCTTACTCAACTCCAAGAGGATCTAAAGAAGGCTAAGGACCAACTGAATGCGTCTGAGTCATTGAAGAGGCAAGCCCAACAGGAGGCTGAGGAGGCTAAGAAGCAGCTTTCAGCCATGTCAGCCAAGCTTGAAGAATCTGAACAGCAACTGATGGAGATCTCTGCTTCTGAGGATTCTCGGATTCTAGAGCTCCGAAAAATCTCACAAGATAGAGATAGAGCATGGCAATCTGAACTTGAGGCTCTTCAGAAGCAGCACTCGATGGATTCTGCTACCTTTGCTTCTGCCATGAATGAAATTCAGAAGCTGAAAGTTCAGCTAGAGAAGGCATGTGAATCTGAAGCCATCCAAGCTGATCATGCTGAATCTGCATATGCTGAGATTCAGAAACTGAGAACAGAACTTTCTGAAACTATCTCCCTGGTTGAAAAAATGAAGTCTGAGCTCACTGATTGCAGAGAATCTGAAGCCAGAACTCTTGATATGTTGAGTGAAACCCAAATGCAATTGGCTACCTCAAGTGCCACTGTGGAAATGTTGCGTTCTGATGGTGCCAAAACCGCAGAAGCTTACAATTTATTATCATTGGAGTTGGAGCAGTCAAACGCTCGAGTTAGATCATTGGAAGGACTTGTGAGCAAGCTCCAGGCTGAACTAGTTGTTGGTGGTGGCAAAATTTCTGAGGACCCTAAAGATGATGGTAAAGTATCACAGCAGAATGGAACAAATGAGGAAATAAACCATCTAAAGACTGAGCTTAATTTCGTGAAACTTGAAGCTAGTCAGTTGAGATCTGCATTAGATGCAGCTGAGGTCAGGTACCAAGAAGAATATATTCGGAGCACATTGCAGATTAGAAGTGCTTATGAACAAGTGGAACATATGAAATCAGAGTCATGTAAGAGAGAGGCAGAACTGGAGACTGAATTAAAGACAAGCAAAGCTCATATAGAAGAGTTGAGGGCAAACCTAATGGACAAGGAAACTGAGCTGCAGAGTATTTCAGAGGAAAATGAGGGGCTAAATTTAAAGATTGAGAAAAACCAGCCTCTTGAAAGAGAATCCGAACTTGAGATGGAGCTGAAGAAGTTCGAGGCAAACCTGGCAGAATTGAAACTGAGTTTGTTAGTTAAGGAGACAGAATTGAAGACTGTAACTGAGCAAAATGAAAAGCTCAAGATGGAGATCGAGAAGAAGCAAATGGAGAGTAATAAAGTTAACGATGAGGCTGCTGCTTTGACAGAAGCAGCAAAGGCTGCAGAGCGAGAAGCTTTAATGAAACTTGGCCATCTAACAGAGGAAGCCGACAAAAGTAGCAGAAGAGCTGCACGTGTGACTGAACAGCTTGATGCAGCCCAGGCAACAAATACAGAATTGGAGGCTGAGTTGCGGAGATTAAAGGTGCAGGCAGACCAGTGGAGAAAGGCAGCTGAGGCAGCTGCTGCTATGCTTTCTACTGGAAACAATGGAAAATATGCAGAGAGAACTATGTCTCTTGACAGCAACCACATATCCATAACTGGCAACATAGGTTCACCTTACTCTGAAGACATGGACGATGACTCACCCAAGAAGAAGAATGCCAATGTGTTGAAAAAGATAGGTGTGTTATGGAAAAAAGGCCAGAAGTAGATGGAGAATTCGGTATGTTATATTTCTCACTAAAATTTAGTTGTTCTGATGGTTTTTCATTCTACGTAATGCGCATGATCCCATTCTTGACAGGTACTTAGCATGGTTCTTATTGAGAATTTCAATATTATCAAGGATGTCTAGAAATGCTATGATACCCTCTGCAAACTATTGTATAATGGGAAAACTGACATTGTTAAGTTTTGTTTCGTCTGTTATGTTACTGGTGGCTTTGATCCTATGAATGTTGAATCATTTTCTGGAGAAGGCTCCATTTTTGTTATGACGTAGTTAGCATTCAAGTCATTACCACATTGACAGTATCCTTATGAAGGTTGAGCAGGTGATCCATGAATATATCAAAAGAACATTTCAAGTTCTTGTAATGGAATTTCCTTGGAGGATTGCCTAGCTAATGTGTATCGCTGCAGCATGTTACATAAGTACTAAACATCATCATTTCAGTTTTTCATTTGCCCCTGTGATGTTGATCATCTTTGTAGCTAACATTGTCTTTGTCACAATGATGGGTCGACAACGTTTGACAATCAATTTTCACAACAATCACATTGAAAAACATAATAATGATAAGGTAGAGTGAGTGATTAGAGTCAGTAAGATTATTGAAGATTTGTTGTTAAAAAATCTAGATAAAACTAACTCTTGAGGAAAAGCTAGTCCAATTCCAACCCATCAATAATTTATATCCAACTTATCTTTAATGTTGACATTTTTAATGCCAACTAGTCTTTAACATCTTCAAATTCAAAACTTATAGATTGTACGGCCTAATCTTTAGGTCTTCAACCACTTCATTTTTCCTTAATTTCATTGGCAAATAAAACATTCTATGTATAAAAACTAAGACAACTTTCTCAAAAAAATCTGAAAAGTTCTTCAAAGAGAAGTCTAGGGATGATAAAAGCTTGAGTTTATGAATTTTTTTTATATATAATTTTTTTATGAGAATAGTGTTTATCTATTTTACCTCCTAAAGATTATGATGAATATTATTTCAAAATTACGTCATTTTAATAAATACATATTAAAAAAAATTAAAAAATCTTATTTTTAAAGCATGAATTAGGATATTTTTTAATTTTTTTTCCTTCTAATTTTTTTTAAAAGTAAAGCGGACAAACATTAACAATTTTCTTTATATATTTAGATGAAAAGATTTTTTTTGGGGCAAGTTTGACCCAAAAAACATAAGATGGTTTATGATTCTAAGTCTCATAGATTGAAATTAAACCCAACAGGTAAACCAAATCGGGCCAATTATATCAGCCCAGTCCAGTACACAAAATCATCTTCTCTCCTATATATATGTCACCTCCTCGTTTCTAGGGTTAGGGTTTAACGAAGGCGGCTGCATCTTTTCTCTTCAAACAGAGTCTATCACAAACCCTCCTTCCTGTCGAAGAACTCAACTCAGCCACCATGGGGTATGAATCTCCCCTCATAATCTTCCATTACTTTGTTTTTCTAGATTTGATTACGTACAAGTGTTATCCATGAATTTTCTTACAGTGTTTAAGCTGTTTCTACTCACGAGATGAATCGAATCTAGGGTTTTGGATCCCGTGTTAATTTTACAGCTTGTTTGTTTTATCTGTATGGGTGTCCATGAAGTTGCGGGAAAAGAGATGAAGATTAGATCTTTTAGTTTATTGATGCGGCTATGAGCTTTTAGAAAATGGTGAACTCGGTTTAGTTGAGCTTGATTATTGTTGTATTAGGCTCGAATGTGAACTTTTTGCTTTTCTTGATTCCAAATCGAAAAATGTCCGTTTGGGTGTTTTATGAAACTGGGCCAAGTCAGTTTGGCTGAAGGGATGCAGTAAGCATGGTATTACCATTGGATTTAGAGATCAATCTCTCTCAAATTATACATTCATGTCTCAGAAAGTTTTGAGAGATTCTTATGCTCCTATTAGATTTGAATACTGGTGCTGCCCTTATACAGATTATGACCCAAGAACTGCTTTTCTTTTGTTTAAATCTAGATTCTAGCTAACCCCCTTGGTTTAGGTTTAACAATTATTTTTGTGTGTGCTAGAAGCTAAGCATTTTAATTTAGAGGTTTTTGTCCTTGATCAAATCTTGTCATTGGATGGCTATACTGCAAATTTAACTGCTTTAATGATTAATATAGCTTCCTGAGAGGTTAAAAAAATCCATTTTCACATCAAGTTGATGTGCAATTTCAATCTATAGGAAATTGTAAGAGAAAATAGAAAAAAAAAAAAATGAAAACAAGAATGTAGTAGTTAAGCACGAACACTCACCAAGATGGTAAAACTAACTTTTCAAGGTTCATTCTGAATTGTTTCTGTAACTTTGTTAATGGTCTGACAAATAAATCTTTCAGGAAGACACGTGGTATGGGAGCTGCACGCAAGCTGAAATCCCATCGCAGGAGGCAAAGGTGGGCTGACAAGTCTTACAAAAAGTCCCATCTTGGTAATGAATGGAAGAAGCCCTTTGCTGGTTCTTCACATGCCAAAGGCATTGTCCTTGAGAAGATGTAAGACCAGAAGATCCTTTAATTCTTGTACTTTCTTTTGTTAGGTCGTCAATTAAAGCATTTTAGAACCAATTACTAATTGTGGTATATAATGCAGAGGTATTGAGGCGAAGCAGCCTAACTCTGCTATTAGAAAGTGTGCTAGAGTTCAACTGATCAAAAATGGAAAGAAGATTGCTGCCTTTGTTCCAAATGATGGTTGCTTAAACTACATAGAGGAAAATGTGAGTTGTTTTTTATTAAATTGTATGATCATCTTCTTCTTCTTTCTTTCCTTTTTTTTTTTTCTTTTTTTCTTTTTTTTTAATCTGTTCATTGATAACAACGTCCTTGGTTGCAGGATGAGGTGTTGATTGCTGGATTTGGACGAAAGGGTCATGCCGTTGGTGATATTCCTGGAGTCCGATTCAAGGTTGTGAAGGTCTCTGGTGTTTCGCTTTTAGCCCTCTTCAAGGAGAAGAAGGAGAAGCCAAGATCTTAAATTTGGGTGATGGAGAGGATGTTTTCACCTACTGCCTTTTGATAGTAGTATGTTTAAAGAACTCGAAATGTTGCTTTTTATGGATGAGGACCTTTTGTGAACAAGTATTAATCAATCCTTCGGTTTTTGTATTGAACCAGCAAAGTAATTTTTTTGATTTTCAATTACCTTTGTTTTACTCGAGTCTTGCGGACGACTTGACCATAAGGTCGGATGTTTCCGTGAGCAGTAAGCAGCGGATCTCCCCTTATTTTGGGAAAGCTGGTGGCCGCGTGTGAATTCTTTCAAGGCAAGGGGCGGCCTGATTCGACATTGTTGTTTTCTCTGATCCGGTCGAGGTGATGGAATTTTTAAATTCAAAGTGAATGGCAGTTTCTTATCTCAAAAAGTAATTAAATCACCTCAAATCAGCAAATAATAAATTAAACTCTATTGCCGTTAAAAACAAGAAAATAATTGTATTTTACAATTTAGTATTCTTGTTAGGAGGTTAGATGCTCTCATTTTTATCTTCTACATGATAAAGCAAATTTCAAGCATTTTTATTTAGTAAACTCCAACATCTTAAATTATTTCATTTCTATATGATATATTGTTATAAGTACAAAGATTTTTTCAAATTTCACACTGTATCTAATCCATCATTTTATATAAACAAATTCATAACAAATTTTTTCCTCATGAAAATGGCGCTGGAACCAGCCTAACAAATATTGAACACAATGCGCATGAGTTATCATTGCACATTTATGCACGGCGTGACAATATTTGTCAATATTGGGTTTGGAGCAGACAATGCAAGCTATCTGTTTCAACCCACATCTTGTATGTATGAGGTCTCTTTCTTTAACTTAAGAGTTTCTCAACTGGTGAAAGCTAAGCTAAAGACTCTAAGTTAAAAGGTCTTAGATTTGAACATTGAGATGGTGAAAAGGATTGCTACTGTTGTACCAAATGATGGAAACAAGTTCATAGAGGAAAAAGTGAGTGGTCTTCTGTTAAACTGTAATTTTTCTTGATTTTCGATCTGTTCACTGACAATAACAGCCTCCATTGCAGGATGAGGTGTTATTGCTGGATATGGACAAATGGGTGATGCTGTTGGTGAAATTCCTAATTCCTGTAGGCAGATTCAAGGTTGTGGACTGGACGTCAATGGTGTTTCACTCTTGGCCCTTCAAGGAGAAAGAAGCCAAGGTTTGGATAATGGGGTGAATCATGGATGTCATCTGGTATCCTACGTCCTTCTGATTAAGTAGCTTAAAGAACTTGGAATGGGTCCCTTGGAGATTTGAGCCTTAATTCGTTTCCACATTAGAGGCCTGTGAGCACATGTTTGAAGGGGTTTTTGAAAGGAAAGGATTATCAGAAAAGAACTTAGGAATGATAGCTTTAATCAATTAGAATTATTTTATGGTTGGGTTTGATATAGAAAATTTTCATTTGTGTGGGTTAGGGCTACCATTAATTGGTGATATATATTAATTTAATAGAACATGTTGATTTATTAAGACATGTGTGAAAGTCCATTTATTGTGATCAATTTGTGTGAGCTATTAACATTTCACTGAGTTAATGTGAAGATGACTAATGTACTTTAATAGAATGATTATCAATGTCTTATTATAAATATGCTGATGATAATTAAGTATGGAGATACATATATTTACAAAAATGTATGTGAAGATAAATTTTCACAATAATCACATAAAAAAATAAATTATATTGATCGTTGATCAAGTAATTGAATCAATAAAATTATTAAAGATTTATTGTTAAAAAATCTCAATAAAACTCCTTATAAAGAAAAACTCAATTAATCCCAATAAACACCTTATATTATTAAGTTACTTATTTTAAAATGTTTACATTTTTACTATCAAAACCTCTTGATTTTCACAATCTCAAATTCAAAACTTACACATTATGAAACTTAATCTTTAGATCTTCAACTACTTGACTTGGTTAACCCAAAAAAGATTAATTTTTGTTTCTGGGTCCCAAAATTCTGTCAAAAATAAACTGGTTAGAAACTAAACCCAACAGCAAACACAAATTGGGATAATTATAGTAGATCAGTCCAGTACACAGATTCATCTTCCCTCCTATACATATGTATTGCTTCTTTTCTAGGTTAGAGTTCATCTAAGCTGCTGCAACGTTCTGTCTTCAAACAGAGTCTATCAGAAACCCTCGTTCTGTACCACTGGTTTGCACAAGATTAAATTAAATTAGATTCAATTGCACAAGATATTTAGTATAAATAAGAAGTGCAGTAAATATAAACTTTGTTGCATATATACATAAAAAGTATTTTGGATTCTTACTGGTCATTAAAATTGAATTTTTAGCTATCAACTTTATTCTTCTTGTACACAGAGGCATTATTTTTATTTAGTGAACTCCAATATCTCAATTTAATCAATTTATTCCAAAATTTAATGATTTTCGTTATATTTGATAATAAGTTCAAAAGTTTTCAAAAAATGAAGTTTGGATTTTTGCAGTACATCCATCATATTATATATATATATATATATCGAAATTCATGACTTTCTTTTTCTATAAAAAAAAAAGAAAAAGATGAGAACTACTCCCTCGGCGAATATTGAATGCTCAAAAACGCGATACACAGTTTTTTTTCTTCATAACATTGGTGTGAACAGAGATAGAATTTTTGTGACAATGCTTTCAATATTGAGATTTGAGTTAAACAATGCAGGTTAATCTTCTTCACCCACAATGTTTAAAAAGATCTCCTCTCTTTAATGCCTTAAAACTGCAACACTTCATGAATTTAATATTACATTTATAGGGCATGCCTGGTTTTGCAAGTTGCAATTTTGCATTTTTAATTTTTTTGCCTTCTATATTCCCCAGAAATGAAGACAGGTAGCATGGTAACTTTACCTAACACAGGTTAGTTCATGTTTTGAGGATGGATGAAACTATATTTGAGAACATATGTTTGAATTTTTTATTGTCATTTTGATGGAAATAATATCAATGAATTATATTTGTCAAGGGGAAGTTTTAATCATACATATGAATACATGAAATAATTTGTGAGTACTTAAAAAAATTGAAAAAAAAAAA